AGGCCTTATGTATCAGAGTTTGTAACAGTTTCCATAAATTCAAAGTCTGTCATGCCCCTCTATCTCACTTTCTTCCTACCTAGAAATTCAGTTAAAGAATAAATTGCTGGTAAAGACGCCTTCAAGTTGAGCTTCTCTAAATGGATGCAATTGTGCAATTTTCTTGGTCACAATATGATTTGCCAATACCTTCTTCCAGGATCTTTTTTCAGCCCTCACATTTATCTACAATCTTGGAATGCCCTAAGTTTCCCATCCAAGCATCATCCAAGTCCAACTCTGCTTAACTTTCAAGTCTAGACAAGATTTTCCAGGTGTTGCCAGCTGCTAATTCCAAAGGCTTTGGAAAACCTGGGGAGACTGGTTCTACATTCTCCTTTTCTATCCTTAAGATGCTTAGGGCAATATTGTTTGAGACTCATGCTTTAGCAGACATGATCAGAGTTGGTTGTATTTCTGCACTGCAATAAAAGTTATGACTGTAGTAATAATAGTCAGCCCTAAGCCTATATTTGGCATACAATCAAAGAAATGTCATAAGCAGCACCCACTGGAATGTGTCATGCCAAGGCACCATTTCATCATTTCTGGAAATAGGGGGGCATGTTCCATGTTCTGCTTTTTAAGCCTCTCCTGCATAACATACCTGGTTATGGTTTTGTCCCATAGGGAGGAAATGCTTTTGCATCATTTGGTCGTCATGGTGAATGAAAGAATGGAATTTACCCTGCAGTGAATAACTTAGATTTCTGTAAGTGAAGACAGATAAACAAACCTCCACTCATTAAAACAATTTTGGAAAGCAAGAAAGAATTGTGATACTTATATTAGAGTCACAACCAGTGGTGGATGCCACTTCTGTGTGGATGCCACTTCAGGAAGTCCATTCTGGGCCTTGGCAACAAAAAATTAGCTACCGGTTCTGCTGAACTGGTGCAAACTGGCTGAATCCCACTACTGGTCACAACTCTTCTTTATTCAAGAGCTTTCTTTCTTTTCCTTTGCTTGTTTGTTTTACCTCTATGTCCAGTGTGGCAGTTCAATGGCTGATAAAAGCCTGGATAGAATGTGTAGTCTGTTTCTCATGAGCCTAATCCAAGGATATGTTTTTAATTAAGAAATAGATTGTCACCTCAGAAGTCTGGAAATTACTGAGGAGTGACCAGTTATGAAATTGAAAGTAATAAATCTGAGGAAGCGAAATAATTTATTGCCACATTCATTCCAGAGTTGGTGCAGATGGATGACACGAAGTTATCAGTGATCTTGAGTATGGGATACAGCACAGAAACCATAGTAATAGATGCATAGGTTAGGTTATAGTTGATACTGACCTAAGTATTGCTCATTATAAGCAGTCTATCACTTTGTAATGTGTCAGAGAAAGGGGTAAATCATCAATTCATAGCATTGCGGTGGTGGGAACGATCCTTCTTGAGTTTTAACTGAAGTTGAAAGTTTATTCATTCAGCTCTCACTGTGAATAGGACTGTCTGTATTTCTTCGCGTGGGTCTTGACTCCCAGTAACTGCATGGACAAATTCCAGTTTTCTTGGCAAGATTTCAAAAGTGTCTTGCCCTTGCCTGCTCTTCCTAAGGCTGAGAGGGGCCCAAGGTCACCCAGCTAGCTTAAGGTGGGATTTGCATTCACAATCTACCAGTTTCCACTTGTTGCCTTTAACCATTACACCAAGCTGATAGGAGCAGAATACATTTATTTGTTTCTCTGAAATTTAATGAGTATCCCAAGCAGTCTCTCCCCCCTCTCCAGAAATGTTCCTTGTGCATATTTCATGACTATTATATGTTATGTGGTGCCACAGGGAATTGCCCTTTTTCACTCACTCCTATTGAATGGCCTTGCTTGTACAAAGTGAATAGCTACAAAAGAGGGAGATTGTGAAAAAGTGAGAGATGAAGAGGAAAAGAACCCCTTTGCACTATATCATGTTATATGACTTTTGTGTTTTCACCAAACTGAACCATATTCCTTTGGACCTGAAATCTGTTCTTATTCCCTTCTTTTTTCCCATCCTAGCGGGAAAGGTGGTTCTTTTTTCCCCCTTAAATCAAAAGCTTTTTTCTATACACTCCCATCACCCCTTTCTTTAGATCTGAATCCTGAACTCAGGCCATTGTCATCCTTTCACTAGCTAGTTCTCACTCTCCTTATGAAAAGATTGCTTGTAAAGCAAGTCTGGGTTGTCAAGCTTTTGAATCTAAGGAATATTATCATTGCTTGAGCAAAACAATGCCAATGATAATTGTTGAGTCCTCAAGTCAACGGCGAATGAATAGAGCACATTCAGTAATTCCAACAGCTTTTTATTTCAGTAGTTCTCTCTCCATCACAGCTCTGAGGCTTGCAGACCTCTCTGACTCTTTTAAATAGAATCCCCGGGCAAAAAGGTAACATTCTGGTGCGCTTCCGCGCCTTGCGCATGTGCGCGAAGCCGGCATCACTCAGTCTGGTCCCAGGTAGCTTGCAACTGCCCGGGACCATTGCAACATCCCGAGCCTGCCTTTGCAGGCTCAGGACACAACAATAATGATAACAAATCCCAAACTTTTACTATATCATAGCATGCTGTTTTGATATCCTGCATTGTCAGTGCAATTTGTCTGCTTCTTCTGCACCCGTGTTCTGCCCCAGCCATTGTTATTTGCACAACTGGCAAAAATTAATCTCTGGGATAAAGCAGACTGGGCTCTAATGGCACCTGGAACGATGTGGGAGAAATCACCAAAATACTCACAGGGGAGATCAAAAGGCTTTCCTAAGCATGAATTCTAATAGCTTTAAGCACAAGGAGGGGAGGTGGGGGGGAGGGAAGGAGGCAAGAATAATTGCACTTCTGTAGTCTAGATAAACAAATGGAACTATATTGATTCCTTAGGACTGCACAGGAAAACAGTGTCTTAATTAGGGCTAGTCCCCCAAATTTCAGAATGTAAGAGGTTTCGTAAAAGTATTTTAGACATGTTGAAGGATTAAGCAAGAGAAAATGTTTCTATATTTTAAAAAAAGGGGGGGGCAGGAAATGCTCATTGATGGTATTCCCTGAAAAGGAAATAATTCTTCAGTATGTAAAGTCCAAGAGGTGACTAAGAAATGTAAGAGGATATTTGCATAACATGTTAAGGCATAACAGTCTTGTGTATTGTATGAATGTGGATTACTCTTGAAATTGTGCTTAAGACAAAGGGTGTGAACAATAGTCACAAACTTTATATTTACTTATGCCAGGTCTATGGGTCTGCTTTGTCACAACATGAACAATCTGCTGTAATTAAGCAGCCTTTAGTTCACCTAGTTGAGACAAATAGCAGAAGCAGCATCAAGTGGAACCACTACCAACAGTTGCTGTCTGCCTCCTGCCACCATCACTGTCCATTGCCTAATTGCTGCTGTTTTTCCTTTGGCCACTTCATCCACATGGCTGACAACCTCTCCCTCACCTTCCTCTCCAAGGAGCACTGAAGCTTTCAGAACACTGGACAGCCTGTTGTGTTTTGCTAATGATTACAAGGGAATGTTCTTTGGCATGGCAGAGATGTTAGGAGCCCTTTTGCAGAGGGAAAAAAACCAGAGATGGAATGATGCAGAAGGAAATTATGGTGAGGAGAAGTAGGACACAAAGGAAATAGGTAGTGTTGTGTGGGGACATGGAATGCCCACTAACAAAAACACCTCTCCACAAAAATGATTGTGTTAAGCCAAGGAATATTGTGTTCTGCTATGGGATGTAGTTGGGGAATAGAGAATCCATTCTGATTAAGGGTAGTTATGCTCAGTTTTGGTGTAGGTCAGTGAGTTATTTGCAGCAAGATATTGTTAACAGGGCAGCACAGCAGCACAGAGATTAAGAAGCTGGGCTTGTCAACTGGAAAACTGGCAGCCCAGATTCACGGCCCAAGCTCCATGCAATGGAGTAAGCTCCCGTCCTCGCCCCAGCTCTTGCCAACCCAGCAGTTCAAAAGCATACAATTGAAAGTAGATAAATAGGTAACACTTTGGTGGGAAGATAACAGCACTTTGTGATGTCATGCTGGCCACGTGACCGTGGAAATATCTTTGGACAGCACTGGCTCAATGGCCTTGAAACAGAGATAAGCACAGCCCCCTATAGTTGGCAATGACTAGCAGAGTAAAATCTGCAGGGACTCCTTTTTACCTTTACCTTGTTAAACAAATGCTTCAAAGTTCTGCTTAGCATGATGATACTAAGCCTAGTAGGGAACACATGGGTTAGTCAATTAATTAACATTTAACTATCATTGTTAAATATTGCTGGATTTAAAAATGACTCCCTGTGGTTTATACTAAAAAATATAAAAAATAAAATAAACACATGGAAGCCATTAAAACATAAATAACTATAAATGCGATTAATCACTTGTAGTTGGGACAATTCTGTGTTTAACTGTTTCAGGAAGGCCATCAATGAGGGTGCCAACCTAGCCTTTGGGGGGGGGGGTAAAATGTAAGAAGCAATATTCACTGATCACTGCTCTGTCCTTAACTTCTTAGACTGATTATGTCTGTATGTACAAATATATGTCTATATGTACAAATATGTACATATTTCTAAATGTTGTACCTGGACTGGCCCTCTCGATATTGATGATTAAAGGTTGGCATCAAAGAAAATACTATGAAAATTATATAGCCCTATATTAGGAATTGTAAGAAGACAAAAAGTATTATTTAACATCAATATTTGGAGAGGAGCATTCATGTCATTCCATTCTAACTGTGACTGAAAGGTTGTAAACTGAAATAAGATTGCCAACATAGCAACAAATGAAAATGAAAAAAAAGTATGATTAATTCATTATTACTTGTAATTATTATAATTACAGTTGCTCTTTCTTTGAATTTTTTAAACAGAACCTCCATGTAGCAATATGATGATACATAAATCATGATCAATGTCTTGACCTCTAATCTCATAATCAGTTAATGCAAAATTGCTGTTTCTTTCATAGGAGGAAGGAAGGAAGGAAGAGGCGAAGAATTGTTTCTACTTCACAGTCACCATCAGACGCTATCTACAGTTGGCTTTCCTTCAAACATAGTCAAAACTGTATCTGGAAAAGTAAAAAACTGTCTGACAATGTTGACCATATGGAAGACAGTGTCTTGTAGCAATTTACATAAAATATCCATTTCTTATAGTTGCCTATGATTTTCCAAAGCTATTTCAATTGCATCATTTTTTTCTTTTCGCCATAAAGAACAAAGGAAAGGAATGTATGTGCAGATGTCCTGTCTGCAGATAGAATCTGAGCAGCCTAAAAGGAGAATTAGATTGGCTTTATCATCCTTATTGGACTTCTAGAAAGTACAGGAAATCACACCTACCACACGTTTGATGCTTAATTTATGAACAATAAAAACAAGGGAGAAATGTAGGCTCCTCTCTGCCACCCTCTTACTCGCCCAGTTTATTAGGAATTACAATGCCCAAACTTTCACAATATTCAAATGTTTATCATTCTAAATGACAGTGAATTCCAGAAATATTATCAAGACTTCAGTTTATGTATCCTAGGGGAGAGGAATTTTATTTTGCCATTTCGTATAAGTTATCATGACTCAGAGTAGAATCTTTGCCTCTGCATTCTCCATGTGGGGCATTTTAAGCTGGTTCTAATATTCAGTTGCTGAAGTACTTTAATTCTGCCTGACTCCAGCTCAGTGTGGTTTAAAGCATCAGAAGGAAATATTTGCTTTTCACATTTTCTATGCAACTGCCAAAAAAGAAATTGATTAACTTCCTTGCGGTTAGATGTGTGAGCAGCAAAAGCATGTAGAGCTTATGAAATTCTTTAGCACAGAGACATACATGCTTCTTTTTTCTTTTGAAATTATTATCAGAAGCATGAAAGTCTCATGTTCATTTTTTAACCATTTGCTTATGCAGAACCAACTCTTTTTGAAAGGCTGGCTTAATCCAGGTTCTTCTAGAAAATCAGCCAGAGAGCCAGTTTGATGCAGTGATTAAGGCATCAGGACAGAAACTGGAAGACCATGAGTTCTAGTCCCACCTTGGGCATGAAGCCAGCCAGATGACCTTGGGCCAGTCACTTTCTCTCAGCCCTCAGAAGGAGGCAATGGCAAATCATTTCTGAAAAGTCCTGCCAAGAAAACTCCAGGAACTTCTCTGGGTAATCTTCAAGAATTGGACACAATTGAGTGGAAGGAAACAAAACAAACAAACAAACAAAAAAGCCAGAGATCAACTAAATCCTGAGATCAAAACATGGTGAGCAATTGGGAATATACTTGTATAAGGTTAAGACTAAAGAAAAGGAGAAGGAAGGTATTTTATAGGAAACAAGCACTAGCAGGGAGGTCTTTATATTAGAAGAGACTGGGAAACTGAAGTCAAAAGAAATGGAGCCATACCTCTCCTATTTCTTTTGTCTTTCAGTCACAATGTTTATCTTCGACTGGGTATCCCCCAATTTGTCTTCTGAACACTAGCACATATTTTGTTCTCTGTCCACCCCCCACCCCCTGGCCTTTTTAATTGGCTTTTCTCTTTATTTACATGTAGCAATATTGCTGTATCCAACTTAACAGTGTTTAAAATTGTAATCCATATCAGTTCTGCATTATTTTCCTGAACTGGATCTTTGATCCACATTGCTACAGCAAAAAAGTAAGAATCAAGGCCATGATTATATTTGTAGCATAGCCAGAGATGAATTGATTTCTTTTTTCCAAATGTAGTCGCAGTGGCTGGGAAGACTTGATTTTATGGAAGTCTGTAATTGTCAGCTTCTATTTTCAGTCAGTTCTAGTAAATCGCTGCCGAACTGCTATTTGAAAATGACAGCTCTTATCTTGGCAAAGGCACAGACAGTCATGTTTCATGTGTGTTTTTGTCACTCACCCCTGTGACTCTGGTCTCTAGTCAAATTCTCAGCTTGTGGCATAGAATTTTTGATGCCAAATACTATCTCTGGGAAGAAACACTTGATTAGATGTCTCTCGGCAGTGATTCCTACATATACCAGTTATATCCTATGAAGTCTCTCTGAGTAATACTTTATTCCTCACCCTATTCATGGGAAGCAGAGAGGAGCCCTTGGTAGTCCCTTTAAAGGAAGGGCTGTGAAACCTGGGCTTTCCAGTCCTCCAAATGCCCTTCTTTGGAATTAAGATACTGGCTAGAGCAATTTTGGCTGGATTAAACTGGTGGGATCATAGGAAATTTAAATTCTTTGCTTTGCTTTCCATTTGATTTAAGAAGCTTTCTCCTTGTCTCTGTTTTCTGTTTGTTCTGCAGGAAATGTGAGTAGAGATTACAAGGACCAAATGATAGCTTTTTCATTGCAATTCTGATAAAGGTTTTCTAAAGAAATTGATGCTTATATTCATCCTCTCTCTAAAGAAGTGAAGCCACTTCTAAAAGACAACAAATTTTGGACTTTACATAGTGCATTATGATACACAAATGAGTCCTAGAAAAAGTCAGAGATTATAATAGTCTAACCTTTTTATACGTAATTTTCCAGCAGAGTGTTGGTAATTCTAAGTAGAATTCCTAAGGCACATCAGACAAAGCTACTCGTCAAGTATTTATTTTTGCTGTCAGAACTTTGTTGAATTTAAAAAATATATAAAATACAAAGAACAAAATAAAAAGGGTGAGGGGGAAGTAGGGTAGTGCAAAATTAAGGGGTGCAGACCAAAAGGGGAAGATGTATAGAAAAAAGTAACTTTTGACTTTCTTTGGTACAGATACAAACATGAAATATACAGCTGGTTTGGTATAGTGATAAAGATACTGGCCTAGAAACCAAAAGATTGTGAGTTCTAGTCCTGCTGTAGAAAGGAAAGGCAACTAACTGACTTTGAGTCAATCACTCTCTCTCAGCCCAATTCACTCCACGGAGTAATTGTTGTGGGGGGAAAAGGAGGAGAAAGGAGTATTATGTATGTTCATCACCCTGAATTACTTATAAAGTAATAAAGGTGGGATAGAAATCTAATTAATAAAATAAATAAATAATAAATATAGTGACCCGTTGAACTAGAATAAAACATAGCACACAATACTTCTATAATCATAAATAGATCTAGTCACTGAATCCCAAGTTTAAAATTTCATTTCTTACAGTTTTATGCACAAAATTTAGCCAACTACAGCCATTTGTTTAGTGACCATTCAAAGTTACGATGGCACTGACGTATGACTGTTTTTCACACTTAAGACAATTCCAGCATCTCCATAGTCATGTGATCAAAATTCAGATGCTTGGCAACTGGTTCATATTTATGAAGGATGCAGTGTCCTGGGGTCATGTGATCATCTTCTGTGACCTTCTGACAAGCAAAGTCAATGGGGAAGCCAGATTCACTTAACAACTGTGTTATCAAATTAACAACTGCAGTAATTCAGAACAATTGTGTCAAGAAAGATCGTGAAATGGGGCAAAACACACTTAACAACTGTGTCACTTAGCAACAGAAATTTTGGGCTCAACTATGGTCTTACATCAAGGTCTATCCATATTTATTTACAATATAGTTATACAGTGATGTATCATCAACTCTACCTATCTATAATTAATAAATAGGGCTCATCGGCTCTGCAAGATTTTCTGTGGTACTTTGGATTCTACCACAAATAAAAGTGTAGGACTTCCTAAGGGATGCTAAGAGCCAGATCCAGTTCATATTCCCAAGAATTCCATTGATCATTGAAATTAATAAATGTAATTTATGAAACTCTGAAGAAGTAACTGAAACCTACCAAAACAGAAATGTTTAAAATATAACAGTACAACTTTTAAAAAAAAGCATACAGAAAACCAGGATCCTTTGAACCCCAGTTGGTGGTGCTTCAGATGAATTCTCATCAGTCTTTCCTATTAAACTTCAAGTAGATAATCAGAAATTATGTCTGTATTTATAAGTGTAGAAATAGCAAATTAGCACTTATAGTTGATGCATATTCTGCCAATCAACCTTGGCGAAGCTTGGACAGCTAAGTAGGTGGTAAGTATTTGGATGGAAGACCACTAGGAAATTCTAGGACTGTAGGGTAGTCTTTGAATTGAAAAAGCATTCCAAAAGAAGACAGTCCTAAACCACATTCCTTTATTGGCAAGAAAATTACACAGAGATGGACCTGATTGAAATTTTACTTACTACTATTTATCTTTTCTCTTTACTGTTAACTAAAGCAAATGGGACATGGACTCTATGCTGGAACCTGTTGGAATGAAGATGATGGAAGGCCTTCTTGTGTATGATGGTTTTCTATATTTCTCCAAAGTTATGGAAGCCTCTTCTTGAGGAGTTGTATTCAGCTCACAAAAGGTAATAACCCCTTCAGTAGCAATACAGCAGAAGCAGGAGGAGGGGGAGGAGGAGGAGGAGGAGGAGGAGGAGATGTACTTGCTTCTCCTGTAACTCAATGGGCTCCAGAGATGGTGGAGTGACTGGGAGATACTGGCACTATAGCATAGCTTGAGTTTTTAGATACTTCCACATTCATGAGCTCCTCACTGTAATGAGAAATGTCATCCTTAAGTGGTATTCAAAATTCAAAACCAGCTATAATCTTTCTTGGCTGGATAAAACAGCAAGAAACTTTCAGTTCAGCTTGCAGGCCATTGTGTATTTGTAAATGCTGATAGCACATATCAAGTTTAGAATTCCTCAGATGAAATCTGGTGAACTCCAGAAGGTCCTAATGTTACAAAAATAATCTGAAGCTAGCCTGATAAAATGGGGATAGAAACCTATATCTAGAGGAGTTTTTATTTTTAGTGTATCAACTTGTGATTCACATAAGGCCTTAGCCCCCTCCTTCTCTATGGTACTGAGTTCAGCTGACTGTAGCACACTGATACCTCAGTTACATTTGAAACTGCATCCAAGAGGCTCTTGTGTGTGTTGTCATGGCTGCCTAAAAGGGAAACCTTTCATAAGTGTGTGTTTCATTCCCTTGAGCTTCAAACATCTGCCTCTAGCATCTGTTTTTCATCAAGGCAAAATCCCAGGTTCTCATCAATGGACAATATGGAACAGATAAAAAGAAAGCTGCAAGTGTTACATTGGCAGCTGAGTTCTCAACTTTCTTCTTCCTACTTAGATCTTTTGCCAAAGAAACAAACTTGTCATTTTAATTTTTCCAGGAATCACCTTCTTTTATCCCTAAACTACCAAGCCCTCTTACCATAACCAGGTCAGTTAAAAATCTTCAGTATTTGCAGGTCTAAGATGCCCTAGTAAAATTATAGAACCAGATAAGTTATACTCATCCGAATAATTTGATTGTTGTTCTAATGTAACATATTTTTTCTCCCTGAACTTTCTTTTCATTTTCTACTTAACTGACTTTATTGTTCCATTATGTGAAGTTATACTATTTTGTATTGAAAACTTTGTGGTAGTAGTATTTGAAATGTTGATAAATCACATGGAAAAAGCCTCTTATTGTTTGCCCTCCCATAAAGTTAACAGACATCAATGAACCAGAAATGAAAGGGCTACAATCTGTTTTCCAAGTTTAGTCAACTGATGTGAAGCTTCTTATAACGATGCAGATAAAAGATAGCTGTTTAACCTAGAAGTTATCCAAGTTTTTTCTATATTCTCATTCCACTAAATCAGAGATCCCCAACCTTTTGGACACTAGAGACCAGTTCTGTGGAGAAAGGTTTTTTCACGGACTGGAAAGTGTATGGTTTTGTGTGCTGCCTGCATCCCACAGATGGGGCTTTGCTTGTTTGTGAGGACCAGTTGCTGGCATGCTGCGGTCCAGTACTGGTCCACAGACTGGGGATTGGGGACCCATGCACTAAATAATAATGAAAACTTCATTTTAGCAATGTTCCAAAGTATTAAAATCATTTATTCATATCTGGCTTTTATCTCTTTATCTATTTATCTCTTTCCCGAGAGGTAGCAAAACAATACAGACTCATGTGATTTAGAAGCAGCCACATTAATTTTAGCATGAGACATCTCACTATTTCTGTAACAGGCTAGTTTTCATGTAATTCATATTTTGATTGTATAAATAACTAACCATTTATTTCTCATGGCAAGGAAAGTGAGGTTCAAATCTTTCTTGTCTTCAATATTTAATGTTCTTTATTCATAAATATGTGCTAAAATTACATATGCATATAATATGAGCAATGCCTAGAGGTGGCCTACAATGTTTGCATGTATAAATAAATAAATAAATAAATAAATATTATCAATCATGTCTCTGTGCTTAGCTCTCATCCATTTATCTACCTTCTCTCCCCAAAGAAATTAAAATACATTATCTGGAGAACTGGAGGTTTTCAAAAAGCAATTTATGTCTTTAGGGTTTGATTTAATATAACACATTGTATTTTTAATTTTACTAATTGCTGGATCTGAGTATTTGTGTTTCATAAAAAATAAAAAAAATATAGTAATACTATTAAATCATGTATTTGACAAATGTCAATAAATCCATGAAGGATGGAAAATATATAAGTCAGTTAGAGACATTAAAGTAAAATTAGATCATACATCTTGTTGTTGTTGTTAATTGCGAAGTCGTATCGGACCCATTGCGACCCCATGGACAATGTTCCTCCAGGTCTTTCTGTCCTCTACCATCTTCTGGAGTCCATTTAAGTTCACATCTACTGCTTCAGTGACTCCATCCAGCCATCTCATTCTCTGTTGTCCCCTTCTTCTATTGCCCTCAATCTTTCCCAGCATTAGGCCCTTCTCCAGTGAATCCTTCTCATTAGGTGGCCAAAGTATTTGAGTTTCAACTTCAGGATCTGGCCTTCTAAAGAGCAGTCGGGGTTGATCTCTTCTAGGACTGACCGGTTTGAACGCCTTGCAGTTGAAGGGACTCACAGGAGTCTTCTCCAGCACCATAGTTCAAAGGCCTCAATTCTTTGGCGCTCAGCCTTTCTTATGGTCCAACTTTCACAGCCATACATTGCAACTGGGAAAACCATGGCCTGGACTATACGCACTTTTGTTGGCAGGGTGATGTCTCTGCTTTTTAGTATGCTGTCTAGATTTGCCATAGCTTTCCTCCCCAGGAGCAAGCGTCTTTTAATTTCTTGGCTGCAGTCCCCATCTGAGGTGATCTTGGAGCCCAGAAAAATAAAATCTGTCACTACCTCCATTTCTTCCCCATCTATTTGCCAGGAATTGAGAGGGCCGGATGCCATGATTTTGGTTTTCTTAATGTTGAGTTTCAAGCCAACTTTTGCACTCTCCTTCTTCACCCGCATCAAGAGGCTCTTTAGTTCCTCTTCACTTTCTGCCATTAGAGTGGTATCATCTGCATATCTTAGGTTGTTGATATTTCTCCCGGCAATCTTAATTCCAACTTTTGATTCATCTAGCCCTGCCTTTCTCATGATGTGCTCTGCATATAAGTTAAATAGGCAGGGCGACAGTATACAGCCTTGCCGGACTCCTTTTCCAATTTTGAACCAATCAGTGGTTCCGTGTCCAGTTCTCACTGTTGCTTCTTGACCCGCATATAGGTTTCTCAAGAGACAAATAAGATGGTCTGGTATTCCCATCTCTTTAAGAACTTGCCACAATTTGTTGTGATCCACACAATCAAAGGCTTTAGCATAGTCAATGAAGCAGAAGTAGATGTTTTTCTGGAACTCCCTAGCTTTCTCCATGATCCAGCGTATGTTGGCAATTTGATCTCTAGTTCCTCTGCCTCTTCGAAATCCTGCCTATACTTCTGGTAGTTCTTGATCTACATACTGCTGGAGTCTAGCTTGTAGGATTTTAAGCATAACTTTACTAGCATGTGAAATGAGTGCAATGGTGCAATAGTTTGAACATTCTTTGGCATTGCCTTTCTTTGGAATTGGAATGTAAACTGACCTTTTCCACTCCTGTGGCCACTGCTGAGTTTTCCAAATTTGCTGGCAAATTGAGTGTAGCACTTTTACTGCATCGTCTTTTAAGATTTTGAATAGCTCAGCTGGAATACTGTCACCTCCACTAGCTTTGTTGTTGCTCAGATTTTCTAAGGCCCATTTCACTTCACATTCTAGGATGTCTGGTTTGAGGTCAATGACCATCTCATTGTGGTTATCTGGGACATTAAGCTCATTCTTGTATAGTTCTTCTGTGTAGTTTTGCCATCTCTTCTTAATCTCTTCTGCCTCTGTTAGGTCCCTGCCATTTTGGTCCTTTATCATGTCCATCTTTGCATGAAACGTTCCCTTCATATCTCCAATTTTCTTGAAGAGATCTCTGGTCCTCCCTATTCTGTTGTTTTCTTCTATTTCTTTGTACTGTTCATTTAAGAAGGCATTCTTATCTCTTCTAGCTACTCTCTGGAATTCTGCATTCAATTGGTGTATCTTTCTCTTTCTCCTTTGCCTTTCGCTTCCCTTCTTTCCTCAGCTATTTGCAAAGCTTCCTCAGACAGCCATTTTGCTTTCTTGCATTTCTTTTTCTTTGGGATGGTTTTACTTGCTACCTCTTGTACAATGTTGCGAACTTCCATCCATAGTTCTTCAGGCACTCTATCTATCAGATCTAATTCCTTAAATCTATTTGTCACCTCTACTGTATATTCATCAGGAATATGATTTAGTTCATACCTGAGTGGCCTAATGCTTTTCCCTACTTTTTTCAATTTAAGCCTAAATTTTGCAATGAGAAGCTCATGATCTGAGCCACAGTCAGCTCCTGGTCTTGTTTTTACTGACTGTATAGAGCTTCTCCATCTTTGGCTGCAGAGCACATAGTCAATCTGATTTCTATGTTGACTGTCTGGTGATGTCCATGTGTAGAGCCGTCTCTTGGGTTGTTGGAAAAAAGTGTTTGTTATGACCATCGTATTCTCTTGACAAAATTCTATCAGCCTGTGCCCTGCTTCATTTTGTACTCCAAGGCCAAACTTGCCTGTTATTCCGGTTATCTTTTGGCTTCCTACCTTAGCATACATCTAGAGAAGGTGGAAAATAGTTTAAAGATTGGTTTGGACATTCATGAGGTCCTTTAACACAGATATTGGCATAATAAGCCTAATAGATTCCAGCCAATGTAGCAAGTATTGATAGGAATATGGGTCCTTTATCTGGGCATGTGACCTTGGATAATCAGCAGGAGCAATCTAAACAACACCAGTTGGGTAAACTCTGTAGTGAGATATTAATATTAGTCCAGGCCTCAGACTAGAAGACAAGAAGTAAGAGAAATCAGGCACAACTTTACAGAGGGTTACATCTATATGAACTCCTTCTTATTCTCAATCAGAACCAATAATGAATCAAGAGGTATTGTTTTTATTGATATTTGTATTTTGTTTATTGAGTTTTTTTGCTTGGTTATTT